TTTTTTTTTTTTTTTTTTTTTTTTATTTTGCACCAAAAGTACGGAAACTTTATTTGATAGAAAAAACATACTTAACTTTTATGGATTTTTTATTATTTAGTACGTTGTTAGATCTCTAAAACCTACAACTAAGAGTCTCATTTGGTGTAAATATAAGCCACATGTGCAAAGTTATTCAATAAAAACTGCTTAAATTTAACAAAAAGTCACATGTGCTATTGGCCTAACATTTTTACTACAGCTTCACTTAAGAATAAAAGTTAACCATTTATAGATTTTTGTCAATCAGATTACAGTCGGCTGACTTAGAGCAGCAAAACTATAAGCTGAAAGGACGTGCAGATACACAAGTAGTGGTTAGGCCAATAAAACTAGATTAGCAGTTTCTAGCTCAAGTTTTCAAAAGAATCATGTGGGTGGATGGTTATTGTTGATTATTGATTGCCAAATTTTCAGCACAAATTTACTAAATTTTATGAAATTATCCTAATTAAAGAGCATTTGACATCACGTGATATTAGCTTAAGCAATTAGCAAAGGTAATTGTTTGATACAGCTGTAACAATTGCATGGGGGGTGATGACAAGAAACTGTTAATCTAAATTCCATGGTGTTAGTATAAAAGAAGTCATTAACACTATTTTAGAGAGAAAAACTACCACCATATATTTTAAAGAATCTGGTTGGTTCTATAAAGTATAGGTCTGTTCCAAATAATAGGGTTGCAATTGTAAAACTAATGTTGGTTACTATCAAGTGTCACTTTCTTATTTGGTGTGGTTTGTTCCTGTGTATTTACAAAAAGTCATGATATCTAATCAAAAACATCTTAGGTTTGTAAAAAAGGTACAGCCCAAAAATGGATTCAGCATGAGACATAAACCTTTAGAGATGGGTCACAGGTGAAAGGCCATGTAATCTTATTTGGTGACTCAATTTTCAAAATTTTATGGAACTATTATTTTATGAATTTATGTCAATAAGTTTGGTATCAAACTGTAGGTTATAATTTAAATTTTAGTACAAAATATTACTCAATTTAAAATTTAATTTCTTAATTTAAAAGCAAATATTAAGAAAACAGATAAACATCAATTTTTGTGTGTCACGTGGTATGTTGAATGTAGTACTGGCTCAAATTAGATGTTTATGAAGTCAAAATACTAGGTATATAGTCTGCATAAAATTTTAATATTTTTCTTCACTAAAATACATATTAGTTACTAAGCTTTATAAATTAGTGAATTTTATGGTATTATTATAGTAATTTATGATTTTTTTTAGTTATTTAAATGTATAAATAAAACCTAAAAAATATTTTGTTTCATACCCTCCACAGTCAATTGTTTTAAGGCTTAGCAATCTGCATCAAGCAGCAACCGAGGACAAAGGTCGTAACTAGAAGAGATAATTGTTTACTTATTTAGTTGTGTTCTGTGTTTTAAGAAAAATAAGTTTCAAAACTTGTTTCAAAATAGCAATAATATATATATACATATATAATGTATAATAATTGAAATGTGACTGTATTTTACAAAATACTAGTTACTAAAACAGTATAGACCAGTTACTCGGTACAGACCAAAGATTAGTTTAGTTATTTGATAAGGTAACGTGGGCTGCGTCATTGTAACTTCTGTGTTAGCCAGGCATGGCTGAAAGGTCAATAATAAATGTATAATGTTATGAGATTTAAGCTATTTAGTCTAAACATTTATGTTTTTGTATTATAATTTGTGTTCATTCTAGAATGAAAGAGGTATAATTTATATTTATTTCCTAATTTTTTATAGTGGTTGCAAGATTTGCATGTGAAATTTCAAAATTTTCTGATGCATAAAATATTTTTAATCTTAAAATGAATATTACTTTGCATGATAGATAGGCAACATGTGAATAGGAAAAAAAAGACATGAGAAAAACATTGCTTTATAAACCTTAAGACTTGATAAAAAAAATTATATTTTGCATATGAAAACATTGTAATGTTTACTGATAATCTGCCAAATTGCAGCATGAAAACTATAACAAGCACAAAATGCTTACAAGGTCGGTCCCACGGACCGAGCCCATGCTGAAAGAGTTAAAGGAATGAAAAAATTGGTAGCTAACTTATAGCATTGATAAGAATTTTACAGCAAATATTCATTCATTCATTAGTTAGAGCTTGGCCGTATATTTTATTTTACCCATCATGCCCCCAAGCTGAACAAAAAATGTGGTCTGGCTAACTAATAAATGAAATGCTGTAAACTTCTTATCAATGTTATAAGTGTAGCCACTACTTTGGCTGCCAAGTTTGATTTCATTCCTTTTTTATGGATGCACCTTTTTTTACCAAATAAGGGTTTTTTATTAGATTTTTATAACATGATGATTGTCATTTGGAATGGGTTGTCTTTAGATGTGGTAGATGCAGTTGATTTAAGGGATTTTATTTTGAAGTTTAATTTAGTAAATTGGATAGCTTAGATGGATGAATTGGTCCTTTATTGTTCTTCAACTATGTATGTTTATGTAAAGCAGTTAATCTAAGTGAAAGCAGGTATGAAAGGCTAATAGCTTATGCTGTTAGAATTGCAAAATTTTGTTGTCCATTATATACAGTCATTTTGGAAAGAAAAAAGGTATTTTAGGTTTATTTCATATTTCTCTACTTTTTGTTTTATTTTTATTGATGATTTTGCTACAGTTAGGGTAGGAATACAACAGTTAAGATATAAAAATAGAGTTGAAAAAACTTGACATTAATTTAACCCGATGACTACCAGCTACTAACTTTCTTAGTAGGCAATGCAAGTCTTGCTATATTTCATTCCAACAATAAAACTAGTGGACGAATATTTTCGAAAATTCATAAATACTTTTACATATGTAGGTAGTTTAAGAAACATAAAGCCTATTACTTTTAATAAATTTAGTTTTTTTTGCATTATGATCTTTAATATCTTGGAAAATTACATTAGGAAATCGTATTTATAAGAAAATATTACAATATTCATATTTGCTACAAATTTGAACTTATTACTTTTAATGTTTTAGTAGATTATTTTGAAATCCCCAAAAAATTGTATTATCCATAAAATGCAAATTTTATCTATTTTAATCTTTTTAATAATCACGTATACTTTTTATGGTTTCAAGTAATATACAGACCCGTAAA